CTCCGGGTGTGTGTGCATGCTGGGAGTTCTGCAAATCCAAAGTAACTCACTAGACAATGGGCGCTACCAAGGGAGACGCTGGAGGAGAGAGGAAGATACCATAAGGGGCAGGGGGGCCATTTGCCATGAGCCAATGGACTCTACCGCATGAAATATTAGGGGAGAGTGGAAGACACTATGAGGTACCAGGGCAGCATTTGCATTGAACCATGGAATGCAGTGAATGCCACCAAGAGAGGGAAGGTGAGGGCGGAGAACTCCACCTAGAATTGAGAGAGGGTGACTTGGTTCTGCCATGGAAACCAAGGTAGCACAGTGGGGAGTGAAGTGGGAAGGGCAAGAAACAAATGGATGGCCTGGGATCTAACTAGTGACAGAGCCATGGAGAAAGAATCAAGTGAGGGGCCGGGCGCGGTGGCTCACGCCTGTAATCCCAGCACTTTGGTAGGCCGAGGCAGGCAGATCATGAGACCAGCCTGACCGACATGATGAAACTCCGTCTCTACTCAAAATACAAAAATTAGCTGGGTGTGGTGGCCTGCACCCATCATCCCAGCTACTCAGGAGGCTGAGGCAGGAGAACCGCTTGAACCTGGGAGGCGGAAGTTGCAGTGAGCCGAGATTGCACCACTGCACTCCAGCTTGGGCGACAGAGTGAGACTCCATCTCAAAAAAAAAAAAAAAAAAAAAAAGAATCAAGTGAGAGGAGCGGAGTACCCGAACTCTAGTATGTTCTTCAAGAGAAGACGGGTAATTCAATGATTCCATGAGACTCGGGAGTATGAGCTAGACCAAGTGAAGTTCAGGGGAGAGTGATTTCTGCGAAGCCAGGCCCACTGAAAGACCCAGAGACAACTTGAGATATTCCAAGGGAATCCATGCATCCATTCACTGGACAAATATTCATTAGGTGCCTAGAATATTTAAGCTGCAGGGATACGGCAATAGATAGACGGGACACCAGTTGATTACATCAGTTTGGGAGACACACGATAATTACTAAGTAGAACATACAGTATGTTAATGATATGTGTTACGGAGATCAGTAATGCCGGGGGTGGGGGGATAGGAACTTTCGGGTGGGGAGTGAAGTGTTAAGTGGAGTGCCTGAGGTAGGATGGGGAGCACTGAGCTGGGGGAGTATTAGGAGAGGCGGATGGAGAGTTAATGAGGGACCCAGTCACGAAAGGACTGTAAGATGAGGGAGCCATGGGAGGGTTTTAAGCAGAGAAGTGATATGTTGTAGTGGGATTCCTCTGGCAGCTGTTTTGAGTACGGATTGCAGGAGGCAAGGTCGGAAGCAGACGGGCCATTGAGGATGCCAAGTGATATAGCGGAAGGAGACCGGACACTGTCAAGTAATGCCCGGGATTCTAGTCTTGTGTGGGCTTGGCTGGAAACTGCGCAGGGACTGATTAATGATGTCTGCCACAACACGGGAAGGAGGCCTGATGGCTCCCTTGAGAAGTTCGAATACACAGACTACCCAGAGTAGCAACCACGCCCATCTTGCTCCTCACTGTAGGGCCTGCCAGTAATAGTAAGCATGGTCGTATTAGTAATGTGTTAGTGATAGTATTAGTAATAGTGTCAGTAACCAACATGATATTAGAAACAGCAATAGTAATGGTATTAGTCATAGTAAAAACAGTAGTAGCTAACGGTTATCGAGCAAATACTATCAAGCACTTGTCATTTAATCTTCATTCAATCCTCACAATGTCCTTGTCAGAGAAGAACCCTTTTTTTTTTTTTTTTTTTTTTTTTTTTTGAGATAGAGTCTTGCTGCATTGCCTAGGCTCAGGCTGGAGTGCAGGGGCACAATCACAGCTCACGGCAACCTCAAACTCCTGGGCCCAAGTGATCCTCCCATCTCAGCCTCCCACATAGCTGGGACTGCAGGCACGCACCACCTGTGATGTGAGACCCCCATCTCTAAAAAGAAAAACAAAAGCAAAAATGCCTGGCTATTTATGTTTAATTTTTTTAGAGATAGGGTCTCACTTTGTTGCCTAGCCTGATCTTGAACTCATAGCTTCAAGCGATTTCCCCACCTCAGCCTCCCGAAGTGTTGGGATTACAGGCATGAGCCATTGTAGACCGCCCATTGGTGCTTACGTATTTATTTGTTTATTTAGTAGACGTAGGATCTTACTCTGCTGCCCAGGCTGGTCTTGAACTCCTTTTATGCCTCAGCCTCCCAAAGTGCTGGGATCACAGGAGTGAGGAACTATGTCCAGGCCTAGGAACCATTATGGACCCTAGTCTACACATGAGAACACTGAGGCCTAGAGAGGTTAGGAAACTCGCCCCCAGTGGCCATCCGCAGTGGCCATTTCTGCCCCCAGAATCCTGCCCAGGCTCCGGGGAGCACGCAGCGACGCCCTCATTCCCCACCCTGGTGCAGGTACACCTCCAGGTCGCGCTGCTACTCGGAGACGCCCGCATCGTTCCTGCGCTGGCTGAGCCAGCAGACGCGCTGGTCCAAGTCGTACTTCCGCGAGTGGCTGTACAATGCGCTCTGGTGGCACCGGCATCACGCCTGGATGACCTACGAGGCGGTGGTCTCGGGCCTGTTCCCCTTCTTTGTGGCGACCACCGTGCTGCGTCTGTTCTATGCGGGCCGCCCGTGGGCGCTGCTGTGGGTGCTGCTGTGCGTGCAGGGCGTGGCGCTGGCCAAGGCGGCCTTCGCGGCCTGGCTGCGGGGCTGCCTGCGCATGGTGCTGCTGTCGCTCTACGCCCCCCTCTACATGTGTGGCCTCCTGCCCGCCAAGTTCCTGGCGCTGGTCACCATGAACCAGAGTGGCTGGGGCACGTCGGGCCGGAGGAAGCTGGCCGCTAACTATGTCCCTCTGCTGCCCCTGGCGCTCTGGGCGCTGCTGCTGCTTGGGGGCCTGATCCGCAGCGTGGCACAGGAGGCCAGGGCCGACTGGAGTGGCCCTTCCCGCGCCGCCGAGGCCTGCCACCTGGCCGCGGGGGCCGGCGCCTACGTGGGCTACTGGGTGGTCATGTTGACGCTGTACTGGGTGGGCGTGCGGAGGCTTTGCCGGCGGCGGGCCGGGGGCTACCGTGTCCAGGTGTGAGTCCAGCCGCCCGGATGCCGTCTCCAGGGTCTTCAGGGGAGGCCAGAGGAGACCTGCAGGGCCCCCGAGCCATGAACTTGCTGGGTGGTTCTGTGGGCCTCAGTTTCCCTCCTCTGCAAAACGAGGGGGGGTCAGCCCAAGATTCTTCAGTCTGGACTATATTGGGACTGGGACTTCTGGATCTCTAGGGAGGGGTATTTATTGATCAGGATGTGGGATTTGAGGAGTGGAGGGGAAAGGGCCCTGCTTTCTCCTCGGCTTCATATTTAATCTCCATTTCTACGGTGTGATTAGGATGTAATAAAGAACTTTATTTATTTTCCCCGAGCCGCCTCCTTTTTTGGGAACTAAGGGGATTGGATGACTGAGAATTGGGAGCACTGGGCTCAGTGTTGGGGGTGCTAGCCATTTGAACCTGGACAAGACGCTCTCCTTCCTTGGAACCTGGGATTCCCTCTTTTGAGAACAGGGATTATTAATCCCATGGGGCAGGGTTGGTGTGAGGGTTACATCACTCAACTCATTCGCTGGTACTTCCGAAGCACCTGTCACCTGCCTGCCGACGCTCTCAAGCACTGCGGATGGTGCTTTTCTCTGCAGTCTACCTGCTCAGAAGGCTAACTCATCCCTTTTCTCCTCAAACCTCCAGCACCTCCTCCCCTAGCCTCTTAGCTGGCTTCCTGTGTCACTGAGAAAATTGGGGTTAAAAAAGAAAACTTTGGTTGGAGCCCCATGTCCACTCTTCCCACTCACTTGCCCTATGCCCATACACTCCACTTCCTTCCTGTTGCGGAGGGCGACTCGTCTGTGCTCTAAGCCAATGCCAACCTCTTCCGTTAGGGCAACAGACCCTGTGACCTCTTTGTCTGCTCAAAGACTTCACTCCAGCAGTTATTTCCACCTCATGATCAATTCTCCTTTCCCCTTGACCCTTTTCCATCAGCATCCAAACATATTGCTACTCTCCCATTTTTAAGACCCCCCCCCCCCCTTGACCTCAGCTTCCCCATAAACTACTGTTCCATTTCTTTGTTGATAGCAAATTTCTTTGGGACACTTGTCCCTATTTGTCCCCAATTTCTCTCCCACAGAGTTCACCCATTCAAAGTGTACAATTCGACCAGGTGTGGGTGGTTCACGCCGGTAATCTCAGCACTTTGGGAGGCCGAGGCAGGTGGATCACTTGAGGTCAGTAGTTCGAGACCAGCCTGGCCAACATGGTGAAACCCCATCTCTACTAAAAATAACAGGCATGGCGGTGCATGCCTGTAATCCTAGCTACTCGGGAGGCTGAGGCAGGAGAAATCACACGAACCAGGGAGGCAGGGGTTGCAGTGAGCTGACAACCGCGCCACTGCACTCCAGCCTGGGCCTTGGCGTAAGATTCTGTCTCCAAATAAAATAAAATAAAAAACAAGTCCTGCTGGTATGCAGAGAATGGGCTACAGTAGGGAGAGGTCAAGGAGAGGCAGGGGGGGCGCTGGTCCGTGGTCCAGACATGAGGTGGGGGTGTGGTCCCATCCCCTTCTCTGGGACCACAGAGAAGGCAGCTTCAGGAGATATTTAGAAGTTAGAAAGTCAGAGTTGGAAATGAAAATGAGCTGGAACTCAGTTGAGCTGAATGGTGGTGCTCTTTCTGGTAGGAAGACAGCCTTGGGGAGAGAGAGCCTCTGAGGGCAACATCAAGGACTCTATTTGGGGGTGCCTTCTGCAGGTGGAAGTGTCAAGGAGACAGCCAGTAATCTGAGGAGGTGGGTATCTGGGTTCCCACCTAAACCCTCAGTGCAGAAACCTGCCCGGTGATACCTATGCCTGTCACTGTCATTATGGGGCCCGTATTCACCTGGGCATGTGTGGGCTTGCTGCACCTCCTCCTACCTGAGTTAGTAGTGACCACCTTCAGAGACCAAACAATCCAGAGTTGAAACATATGCTTTATTTTCAGGATGGAAATAGGAGAGGGAAGGAGGAAAGAGACACCTTTGTTAGCTGCCACTGCGGTACCATTCAAAGAACATCCTGAGGAAACAAAGAGGTATGTGTGTAACAGGAAGGGGCTGGCTAGAAATCTAGGGCCTGGAAGCCTGGACTCCTGGGTGGAAAAGGTGGACCGACCCTGGACTCCTGGGTCTGAGGGAGGAGGGCAGGGGGCCTGGACTCTTGGATGTAAGGGAGGAGGGGCTGAGAGCCCGACCTCCTGGCCTGGAGGTTGCTGGGAACCCAGACCTCTCGGTGGGATCTGAGAAAGCGGGGAGCTCGAGGCTGGGACTCCGGAGGCCTGAGCACTCACCACACCAACCCGGTGGCACACACCGAGGCGAGGGCCCCGAGGGCTGCAAGCAGGAACAGGTTGCTCGGCGTCAGAGCCTCGGGCCTGGCCAGCAGCTCGCCCAGGCTGGGCCTCCAGGGCTCGATCAGCTCGGCATCCCGCGGGGCCCAGCGCAGCACTTCCCGGAACGCGGCTTGCAACTCGGTCTCCGCGCGCGGGGGCGGACCCGTCACTGCGGGGGCGCGCGCGCGTCAGACGGGCACGAGCCCCGGCCTTCGCCCCGCCCCGCTCGCTCCCGCCGCCGCGCCCCGCCCCACCGTTAAGAAAGAAGTAGAGCCGAGCCAGGGGGCGCTGGTCTTGCTTGATCTCGCACGAGAACGTCCCGCGGTGCGTGAGCTGCGCCGGCCGGATCCGCGCCAGGTAGCCTTCGGCCCGCGGCACATCTCGGAAATAGGACAGGTCCCGAGTCCGGAGCTGCGGGACCCGCGGGCTTAAGCTTCTCAACTTCGGCTTGCCAAAGGGTAACCTGCAAGCCCCATCCCCCGAGCCACACCACGCCCCCTTGAGTCCCTTCCCTGAGCCTTGACCCTTGACCCCCCCCAGCCTTCTACTTCCTCCCCAGCCCTAAATGCACTTTCCCCACGCTGCCTAAACCCTTAAGCACAACCTGCCCCTAGAACCTGCATTTATTTATTTATTTCCAGACAAGGTCTCGTTCTGGCCCCCAGGCTGCAGTGCAGTGGCACGATCATAGCTCACTGCAGCCTCGAACTCCTGGACTTCAGCAATCCTCCCATTCAGCCTCCCCAGTGGCTGGGACTACAGGCGTGCACCACCATGCCCGGCAGTTTTTTAAATTTTTTAGTAGAGGTGGGATCTTAGTATGTTGCCCAGGCTGGTCTCGAACTCCTGGGCTCAGGCAATCCTCCTGCCTTGGCCTTGCAAAGCGCTGGGATTGCAGGAGCGAGCCACCGCGCCAGGTCCTTGGTCCTGCATTCTAATCTTCGAGCTCTCCCCTAAATCCCGGGGCCCTCTTCTTGGCTGCTGCCTGTGTCTAGACGCAGCTCCCCGGAGTCTCACCCCCGCATGCTGACTCCCCAACCCATAGTGAAGCCTAACTCGCCCGTCTAAACCCTTTGCGCCGCCTTCGCCCCGACTCACACCTCCTCCTGCAAACTTCCAGGAATAGGTGATCTCCTCCTTTGGCAGCTTGAAGTTCACGATGCAAGAAAACATAGCCTGGTCGCCCCGAGTCACTGTCACATCCTGAACTGAAGACAGGGCATGGATCACTCGCTGGGCCCCGCCCACGCCTGGCCTCGCCGCGGTGCTCTGGTCCGGTTTCTCAGGTTGGTCCCCTACACCCCGAGGACCTGCCGCTCACCTGGGCAGTCCAGCGGGAGGTCACAGACCCTGGAGTAGCACCCTTTGCAGAAGAAACGCCGGGCAAACTCCTGGAGACCTGTGGAGTGGGAACGCTGGGTCTCGGCGCCACCTGCCCAGGGCCCTTTGGCCCTTTTGAGATCCATACAGCTCCCGGGGGTCCATTGGCCAGGTAGCATCTTAAACCCGCCGAACCTGCAGTCCTTAGCTGCCTCTTCCTCCTCTCTGCCCTCCAGGATTCCTATTGGTTTGCTTCGGCTCTCACACCCACCTTCTATGAGGATTTAGAGCAACACCTGGTTTACTACTTTTTCTCCGGGGCTCTTGTTGGCCTCCTAAGGATTGGAAGCCCATCCAATTTCCCCCACCTGATGTCTTAGGTTTCGGCCCCAACCACCTCCCTTACCCGACAATTCCAACTTTTAGATGAACTCCTTACCGCAGGGAGGGATGCAGGCCTGGGCTGTAGGGAGAGAGGAAACATCACCACTTAAAGGTCGTGGGAAGAACCCCCCACCCCATGCTTCCCTATCGGTTGTTAGAGGGCTAGACGCTTTGCTCCGAGGGGGTGGGGTCAAGCTGCAGTCACAACCTGGGGGCGCGGTCAAGCCGGCTGCGTTCCACCTGGGGGCGGGGCCAGGCCTGAGCTTTGCGCTGGGAGGGGTCAGGCCCAGGCCCGCTGCCAGCCATCTACTTGGGGGTTAGGGGGAGACACTGGCTTTCCGGAGGGCCTGACGGGGGGTGGGCAGTCCAGTTGTATCCCGCTGAGAAGGCGGGCTAGAAGTAGTCCCGGAAAGGGGATCAGTAGGAGACGAACCCTTTCACAGAGACACATCCCATGACTGCTCCTAGCTGGAGAGGAAACCTTCCATCGAAGGGGTGAGGCCAAATCCACAGTGGTCCACATGGGAGTCGATCCCCAAGGCCTGAGGCTCGGAGATGGGGCCAGGAGAGTGGATCGGGATCTCAGAAGTGGGTTTTGTTTTGTTTTGAGACAGAGTCTTGCTCTGTCACCCAGGCTAGAGTGCAGTGGCAAGATCTCCGCTCAGAGCGACCTCACCTCCAGGGTTCAAGTGATTTTCCTGCCTCAGCCTCCTGAGTAGATGGGATTACAGGCATGCGCTACCACGCCAGACTAATTCTTGTATTTTTAGAAGAGATGGGGGTATCACCATGTTGGTCAGTCTGGTCTCGAACTCCTGACCTCAAGTCATCTGTGCACATCAGCCTCCCAAAGTGCTGGGATTACAGGCGCGAGCCACCATGCCCAGCCAGGAGTGGGGTTTTCCAATTCTGTGTGTGTCGGGGGGGAGGAGATCAGGAGTCTGCTTTACCTTCTTTCAGCTGTGTAATGACCGTCTTCATTTTCTCCGCCGCATCAGGGAAGGCAACCTTAAAGGATCCTGGAGAGTAACAGGGAGGGCGGCCTGTGTAGTAAAATCCTTCCCGTAGGGCTTGGTCCTTGGTCCTGCATTTTGATCTAGGATGTGCTGTCACGGTGTCTGCCCTTCCCCAGCTCCTCTCCACCCCTACATCTCTCTTATTACCATATCCTCTCCTCCTTCCTCTCCTTTCTTCCCACCTTGTGGACCTGAAGGCTAACAAGTCCCTAAGTCGCCTTTCTTCTGCCTCCTGAATCTCTCCAGGATGGCAGCCCTCCTGGACATCACCTGCATGTAGCTTGTTGAGGGGAGAAGGGGTGGATAAGGATCAAATTCCTCACGAAGGCCTATTAGGTCCTGCGTGGTTTGGCCCTAGTCCCCCTCCCTCCCTGTCCCATCACTAGTGCCCCCCTTTCATTTCCTTTTTTATTTTATTTTAATTTTTTGAGACAGCGTCTCACTCTGTTACCCAGGCTAGAGTGCAGTGGTGCCATCTCCCTCACTGCCATCTCTGCCTCCTGCATTCAAGTGATTCTCCTACTTCAGCCTCCCAAGTAGCTGGGACTACAGGTGCGCACCACCACGCCCAGCTAATTTTTGTATTTTTAGAAGAGACAGGGTTTCACCATGTTGGCCAGGCTGGTCTCCAACTCCTGACCTCAAGTGATCCACCCACCTCGGCCTCCCAAAGTGCTGGGATTACAGACATGAGCCATTGAGCCAGGCCTCATTTCCTTTAATAGGAAAACAACCACATTCCATAGCACCTCAGGGCCTTTGCACATGCTGGCTTCTGCTTTTAGCACATTTTTCTGTCTCATAATCATCCTTCCATCACCACAAATCTAATCAAGTTCTCTGTTTTTGTCTCTCATCGCAATCATTTCGTTCCTAGCTCTCATCCGTCTGCAATTACATATATTTATATATAGATGATGATCATTTATGTCTGTCTCGTAAATACGTTCTTCCTTAGCTCTGTGTCCTCTGAATCCTGGAGAGGGCCCTGAATCTTAGAAGTGCTCATTAAGTATTTGTAGAATGAATTCCAGGATCCAACTGGAACTGGAGACCCCAACTGGTGGCCTATGGCCCAAATCCATCCCTAGGATATGTGATATTTGGCCTGGAAAGTGTTTAAAAGAAACTGAACCAGTCACCAACATATAAAATTTGGAATGTCACATAAATGTTTGGCATCTCGCTGGGCGCGGTGGCTCAAGCCTGTAATCCCAGCACTTTGGGAGGCCGAGGCGGGTGGCTCACGAGTGTCAAGAGATCGAGACCATCGTGGTCAACATGGTGAAACCCCGTCTCTACTAAAAATACAAAAAATTAGCTGGGCATGGTGGTATGTGCCTGTAATCCCAGCTGCTCAGGAAACTGAGGCAGAAGAATTGCCTGAACCCAGGAGGCGGAGGTTGCGGTGAGCCGAAATCGCGCCATTGCACTCCAGCCTGGGTAACAAGAGCAAAACTCCGTCTCAAAAAAAAAAAAAAAAAGTTTGGCATCTCTTTTTTAAAAAGTTGGAAGAGCTGTAACACAGAGATCACATTTCCATAAGGCAGCAATTAGCTGGAGATTAGTAGCAGCCGTTCCCTTGAAATGGGGCACACACTGGCCACTTCTCTGTAGTCTCCAGCCCATATTCATTTCTATGATATTTATAGAATACATCTTTTACCCTTGTTTGTTCTTGGTCTTTGTAGGTGTTTTTGTTTTGAGAGAGTCTCGCTCTGTTGCCCAGGCTGGAGTACAGTGGCATGATTTTGGCCCACTGCCACTTCCACCTCCCAGGTTCAAGTGATTCTCCTGCCTCAGCCTCCCCAGTAGCTAGGATTACAGGCACCCAGCACAATACCTGGCTAATTTTTGTATTTTTAGTAGAGACGGGGTTTCACCATATTGGCCAGGCTGGTCTCGAATTCCTGACCTCGTGATCTCCCCACCTTGGCCTCCCAAAGTGCTGGGGTTACAGGTGTGAGCCACCATGCCTGACCTTGTGTTTTGATCTCTGTAATGGCCTCCAAACTGTAAGGGTTTGTGGCTTTTTCCAGTGGAATTTAACAAAGTGGACAGCTGGCTTGATCTCATGGTGGTTTGTGGAAATTAGGATTGCGGCAGGATTTTATGGGCTAAATTGTGCCCCTATCCCCAAATTCGTTTGTTGAAGTCTTAGCTCCCAGTACCTCAGAATGTGACTGTACTTGGTTCTTAAAGAGGTGATTAAGTTAAAATGAGGTCATTAGGGTGGGCCGTAATGCAGTATGATTGGTGTCCTTCCGGGAAGAGGAAATTAGGGCACAGCCATGCACACAGGGACACATGAAGAAAGCCTCTACAAGCCAAAGAGAGAGGCCTGAGAAGAAACCAACCCTGCTGACGCCAAAACCGTGACCTCAGCCTTACGGAAGGCAGAAACTTCTGTTGTTCAAGACACCCAGCTACGGGACTTGGTTGCAGTGGTTCTAGCAAACCAATACACAGGGATTGCCCATTGCCTCTAAGTATCTGTGTATCTATATCCACAGAACACAGAGAAAAGGCTTCATCTCCCAGCCTTCCTTGAAGTTGTGGTCACGTGGCCACGCTGTAGCCATAGGATGTAAGTAGATGTGTGATATGTCACCGGAAGTGGCCTTACAAAGGAGGTGGTACTGCACTTGGAATCCCAGCTACTCGGGAGGCTGCGGTGAAATGATCGCTTGAGGGCAGGAGTTTGAGACCAGCCTGGGCAACATAGGAAGACACCATCTCTAAGCAAATTTTTATAAATTGGCCAGGGGTGATGGCATGTGCCTGTAGTCTTAGCTACTCAGGAAGCTGAGGTGGGAGGATGGTTGAGCCCAGGAGGTCGAGGCTACAGTGAGCTATGATTGCACCACTGCACTCCAGCCTGGGCAACAGAGCAAGACCCTGTCTCTAAAAAAACAATAACAAAAAAGAGATGGTGGCGCCATCTTATTGATTCCTTCATCCTTCTGCTGCCTGAAAATTTGTATCCTGTTGCCTGAAAGTTTGTTTTGATGGCTGGAGCTCTAGCAGCCACACAGGACCATGAGGACAAAGGGCTATTCCCTGGGATATTCAGTCTTGAAAGAGCTTGGGTCCCCAAGAAATGGAGGTGCCATACTAACTTTAAGTGCCTACCTCAAGACTTACTTTGTATAGGAGAGGTAAACTTCCTATTGGCTTAAGCCATTGCAGGGACAGGGGAAAGCTTCCTCTGTGATGTAAAGCCATACAAAAAGGGAGGGGACTAAGGGTATTGGCAAGAGAGTGGCCGAAACAATGATGGTTGGATATACACTTGGAGAGAGAAGGCACTCATGCCAAGAAGTGGGTTCCAAGTGAGGACTTAGTGGTCTCTCCTTGGCCACAGAGCAGAAGTGTGGTCTCAAGATGGCAGGATGATCAGGAGCATGTGGTCAGACTGGGGTGCACAAATGAGAGGCCAGGACATTAGAGGATCATCCAAAGAATTTCTATGGGCCAAATCAAATGACTCAGGGAAAGGGTGACTGTGGGATATACCAAGTAAGCCATGGTGGCGGGGTGGGTTTATAACCCACCAGGGGAGTACGAATGGAGTAAAATGTTCCAAACAGACCAAGGAGCCTGGGTTTTATCAAGTGGGCCATAAAGAGGCATGGGTGGGTGTTGTAAAGTCTTCCCTAGAGGAGTTGCATATCATCAGGAGCTCCGACTATGATTTAGAACATCTGGCTCTGAGTCCTGGCGCTTCTGTCTTAAGCATACCTGTTTCAAATCTGAGTATCAATTACAAGCCCTCCTCCCCGTATGACCAAGTGACTCCACCTTCCTTTTCCTCAGTTTCCTCATTCATAAAATGGGGATGATAGCAGTGTCTGTATCACAGGAGCAGTGTATCGCAGGGCTGGGGAGAGGCTGAATCCTTAAATAAAAATTTGTTTTGATGGCTGGAGCTCTAGCAGCCACACAGAACCATGAGGACTATGATTTACTGATTGTATGGCATGTTGTCTCTAAGCGTGTAGAATGGCGTCTGGCACGTAGTGAGGGTTAGAGAAGACTGGAAAACTTACGATTGCCATCTCCAAGCTTGAGATGGGGAAACTGGGGCATGGGGAGATTAGAGAAGTGGTCCAAAATCACACGGCTACATTTGACCCTGGTGGTCAGGCTCTAGGGCCTCCATACCTAATCGTTGCATGTGGCATACTGCCTGCTGTCTGTACCACGTTATCCACTCTGTGGATTATATATAGACCTACACAAACAAGACCACCTGGGATCATCAAGAGGCAGTCAGCCTACATCAGCTCCTCCAACTCCCTGCTCCTCCAGCTGGCGGAGACTCAAAAGTCATCCTTGATTCTTCCCATTGCCCTCACCCACCTCCATCTGGTCCAGTCTATCTCCAGATATATCCCAGGTCTACTGTTCTTGTCAAGATGAGCGTCAGGGTTCCCATCTGAAAAGTGGGGCTATAAAACCCAGCATCACAGGGCTGGTAGAAGATATCCTTTCTTTTCTTTTCTTTTCTCTCTTTTTTTGAGATGGAGTCTTGCTTCTTCGCCCAGGCTGGAGTGCAGTGGTGCGATCTCAGCTCACTGCAACCTCCACTTTCCAGGTTCAAGCAACTTTCTCTGCCTCACTTTCTCGAGAAGCTGGGATTACAGGCACCTGCCACCACGCCCAGCTAATTTTTGTATTTTAGTAGAGACAGGGTCTCACCATCTTGGGCAGTCTAGTCTTGAACTCCTGACCTCGTGATCCACTCGCCTCAGCCTCCCAAAGTGTTCAGGCGTAAGCCACCGCGCCTGGCTGAGGATATCCTTTAGGAGGATACTTCATATGAATGACTCTCTGCATGGCAGACATAGCGTCTCACACGCATGGGCAGGCCTGGCACACAGTCAAATCCTTGTGCCCACCCTGCTCTGCTCGGACCTCATCTGGTCTCCCCGGACCACTTGTCTGACTTGTCTGACCCACGACGAGCCAGCTTCTCACTGGAAGTCTTCCTGCCTTTGCCCAGGCCCCACACGGCTGCCAGAGAGACCCTGGTAAACCCCAGGTCAGATCCTGTGTCTTGGTGTAAAGTCCTCCGACAGCCCCCCCATTTCAAGAGCAAAAGATAGAAGGTCATTCCAAGGACGTACAACAGCGATTCTGAGTGCTCCCAGAGTAGCATCATCAGCACTGCCTGGGATCTTGACAGAAATCTGCATTTTAAATAAGCTCCCAGGGGATTCTGATGTATGCCGGGGCTTGAGAACCACCTCTGTCTATGAGGATCTATGGGAGGTGGCCTCTTGCTATCTCCGATTTCACCTTCACTCCAGCCCCACGGGCCCCAGGCTCTTGCATTAGCTATTTCCTGTGGCCTGAAAAATCTCTCCCCCTAGATTATCTGCATGGCTGTCACTGTCACCTTGTTCAGGTCTCGACTGGACCCTGGCATTTCCACCTCCCCTGACCAACCGATTTAAAATTATCACCCAGCAAGACATGGTGATTCATGCCTGTAATCCCAGCACTTTGGGAGGCTGAGGCGGGAAGATCACTTGAGCCCAGGCGCTCGAGACCAACCCAAGCAACATAGCAAGACACCATCATTACAGATTTAATTAGCCAAAGGTGGCGGCACGCTGCCTGTAGTGCCAGCTACTCGGGAGGCGGAGGCAGGAAGATCGCTTGAGCCCAGGAGTTCGAGGCTGCAGTGAGCTATGATCACGCCACTGCACTCCAGCCTGGGTGACAAAGTGAGACCCTATCTCCAAAAATAAAAGACAATAAAACTATCACCCCTTTCTCTTCTCCTTCTCTGTTTTCCTCCACGGCAGGGATCACCAATTGATATACTAAGATAGTAAGGTATTTTATCGATTATGTTTATTGTCTGTCTTCCCAGACTCCACCCCAATATAAGCAACCCGAGGACAGGTGGTTTGCACCTTCAGTAAATATCACTGAACGTATTGCACCAGCTTCTCCTGACCTCCAGACTCTCCCTCTGGTCCATCCTCCACACGCCCCCAGAGGGCTCCTTCTGCACTCAGAGCTGCCCCTGTTTCACGGCTCACATTCCTCCGGTGGCTCCCCAGTGCCCCGAGGGCAAAGACTCAAAACTCTTGACTTTTCTGCTGAACTCTGCACCTAGGTATCTAGCTGCCTCCTAAACATCCCTGGGACCTTTCAAAGTCACTACACGCTAACCGAGCTCATAATCTACCCCCGGCTCTTTCTCAGGCTCCTTATTTCAGTGACGACACATGGCCCAACAGGCATGGCGCAGGACCTGTCTCGGACGCTGCCCTCTATGCCTCCCCAAACAGCCCAGCAGACCGCATTCTCTGGCCCTGGCCCCTCTTCTCCACCTTCAGAGCCCCAAGCGCCAACTTGGGCCTCCACTCTGGCCTGGACCCTTACCCAGCCTCTTCTCTCTCTCCTCCCAAGTTGGTCCCACAGCCGGCCCCACAGAAGACTTCCACTCCCAGATCCGGAGTTTCCTGATCTTTTCAAAAGCTTCTGTGACGAGACAGCCCACGTGGGGGGAAAGGGCATTTCCTGGAATCCTGAACCACCCGCCCATAGAGAGCTGTAGGGCCTCAGGTCTCCCTTGGGAGTGGGGGTCGGGGGAGCCACAGCTGAAGCCTTCTCCGGGCTGGCCCTGGATGCCCCGGCGGGGATGGGATCCTCCCCTTTTTGGGGATCTTTGACAAAATGCTTGGTGGGCAAAGCAGGAAGCAAAGGGAGTGACTGTGGGTGTGGGAATAAGCCCTGAGCTCCTGTACCTAAGAGGAAGCCAGTTTATGACACAGCGCAGGGCTCTGTGGCCTCTCTCCTGCAACTCTGAGGTTCCGCAGTTCCAGGCTCTGGCACGTCATGGGGATGGTGGCCGTGGTGACCTGGCATGATTACTGCCAACACTGCCCATTGGCCATGCGCGGCCCCCGGCCCTGAGGTCGCTTCGCACGGCCACACACCTCAAGGCCGTCACGTGTGCCTGTCTCACCAGGGCGGTCACACCCCATCTCTCTTCACCACTGTCACTGGAGTGATCTACTCTGCTGTTTCTGTTTTCCTGCCCTCTGATCGCCTCACACCTCAAAAATGTGGAATCGCTTTATAAGAAATCTGCGTGTGTGTGTATGTGTGTGTGTGTCTGTGTGTGAAAGCGTGTATGTTTGCCTGAGTGCTGTCTGTGAGTCCGTGTGTTTGTGTGAGAGTGTGTGTGTGAGTGCTGTGTGTGAGTGAGACTGTGTGGGTGAGTTCTGTCCTAGAGGAAGACGTCCTCCTTGAGGTCAGCCTCATCAGGCAGCCCCACACCCCACAGTGAGCTCTGTGGCCATCCTAGGAGGCAAGGAGATTGTCCCACTTTACAGATGGGTAAGTGGAGGACAGGAGAGGGGCAGTGACCCACCCAGAACTTCATTACCAGTTAAGTGTTTGCCGTGCGGCCGTGTCAGAATCTACCCGCCCCACCTGGACTTGTCTAGGCAATTTCTCAGCGTCCTTTCCCCACTCGCCAGCATCAGCCTCTGGCTCTTAGAGCTGCCTTCAGCCTCCGCTTGGTCAAGTAGCTGAGCTCATAGCTTCCCAGCTTTCCCCGTCCCAGATGACTGCCCAACTCTGGGGCCTCCTTCCTCTGCCCCGGGCCCTCCCACATACCCATCTCTTGGGGGCTCCGAGTCCGCATGTCCCATCTCCCCACCCCCACACGCTCACCCTGGGCAGCAGCCACCTCCTGCAGGCCATGGGTCATCTGGGTGAAGGCGTCATGCAGGTGGCTTCTCTCATCATAGTCTGGCGGTGAAGGAGGGGGCAGGGGCTGGGGGAGGCAGCTCCCCGCAAACACCGTGTCCCTAATGGGAACATTCTGTCTCTGAGTCTCTGCCCTCCCAAGTCCCTGCCCTCCCCTTGCTGACTCTCTGCCCCACAGTCTCTATGCTTCCTGAGTCCCTCCCGGGCTCTATCCTCACCTCTCTGTGGGTCTCCATCTTCCCTGAGTCTCTCCCTCAACATCAGTCTCTATCCTGCTTCCCCTAGTCTCTGCCCTGTCTCCGTCCTCCCTTCTCTCTGAGTCTCCATCCTCCCCTGTCTGAGTCTGAGTCTTCCCCTCTCTGACTCTCCATCCTCCCCTCTCTGTCCATCCTCCCTGTCTGAGTCTCCATCCTCCCCTCTCTGACTGTCCATCCTCCCCTGAGTCTCCTTCCTCCCCTCTCTGACTGTCCATCCTCCCCTGAGTCTCCATCCTCCCCTCTCTGACTGTCCATCCTCCCCTGAGTCTCCTTCCTCCCCTCTCTGACTGTCCATCCTCCCGAGTCTCCTTCCTCCCCTCTCTGACTGTCCATCCTCCCCTGAGTCTCCTTCCTCCCCTCTCTGACTGTCCATCCTCCCCTGAGTCTCCATCCTCCCCCGTCTCCGAGTCTCCATCCTCCCCTGAGTCTCCATCCTCCCCCGTCTCCGAGTCTCCATCCTCCCCTGAGTCTCCATCCTCCCCTGTCTGAGTCTCCATCCTCCCCTGAGTCTCCATCCTCCCCCGTCTCCGAGTCTCCATCCTCCCCTGTCTGAGTCTCCATCCTCCCCTGTCTGAGTCTCCATCCTCCCCTGAGTCTCCATCCTCCCCCGTCTGAGTCTCTGCCCTGCTTTCCTCCCCTGTCTGTGTTTCTCTGTCCCTAGCCTCTGCTGTTCTCATGGTCTTTGAGCCTTTCGCCTGTGACGATTTCTCTCTGTCTATCCCTCAGCCTGACCCTCTGGGCCTCTCCCGCCCCTCCCTCTGCGCCCTCCCCAGGACACTGAGGAAGGCGGATGTCCTCACTGATTTCGGTGTCAGAGAGGCCCTGGAAGGCGGCCGTGAAGGCCTTCTCACACTCCCTGAGCTTGGGGCTCTGCATCCCCACAAACATCTGGCAGATGCGGAAGCGCTCGGAGTAGGTCGTGAAGCAGAGGAGACAGGCCCAGGCGGGCACCCTGAAGATAGCCAGGGCCAGCAGGGCAGACGGGACCGCCCTGGCCAGCACCAGCAGGGCCATCGTGTGGGTCTCAAGGCCAGGGGAGAAGCTAGTAACCTTTATGAGGTCGCCACAGGGCGGGGGAAGGGCCAGAGGTCTGGGGTCAGAGGTCAGGTTTCAGTTGGTGGCCAAATGTCATGCTCTGGAGGAAGGGTATGAGGAGTCAGGGCTCCGGGTCAGGCCGGCAATTCCCCAGGTGTGTGGTTGGGCCAGACGCCAGGCTCCCAAGAACCTCACCTGTGACCCTGGATGTCCTCACAGGTTAAAGGGTCTCAGGGACCCAGAGGCTGGCAACATGGTATATGGTGGCCCCGCAGGCCCTGGGGTGGGGGTCAGAGATGGAGATGGGCACAGAGACATTCCGAGAGCCAGAAGACAGAGAGACCAAAAAGGACAGAAACAGACACAGCAAGATGTTGGGAGGGTCAGAGACCTAGAAAGCCAGAACCAGAGGGATGCCGAGAATCCACTGCGAAAGAGACGCAGAAGCCACAGAGACACAGCAGAGCCGGAGAGACAGACAGGAGTAAAACAGACTTCAGGGCAGGGAGGGGATCCAGGGGCTAGGACAGAAAAGACAGCCCGGCTCCTCCTCCCAGGGTCCCTGGGGCAGCCCAGTGGGGCTCAGGGTCCCCGAGTGGGGCTGGGGGTCCCCGCCGGGCCCTGTCCCGTGCAGGGCGCAGCCTGGGGAAAGCTAGGAGGTCGTATAGTGATCTCCTTGGGTGTCCTGCTCAACTATACAACCTCCTACCTCAGCCCGGGGGGCGCGGCAGGCGGACAGACAGGGACCAGGAGGACGGGGAGTGGGGGGGGGGGGAGGGCCGGGGAGGCCCCAGCCGCGATGGTGAGCCCCCGACACGGACCCACAGACACGAGCTTGTGTGCGGCGAAGGCCCCGCAAGGTCGGTTCTACGGGTGGGTGCCAGGACCCAGGAGTCCGGGCCCCCGGCCCCTCCTCCCCAAGGGACCCGGGAGTCCAGGCCCTCAGCCCCTTCCTCATCAGGGACCCTGGAGTCCAGGCCCTGAGCCCCCTCCTCCCTAAAGAACTCCGAGGCCCAGGAGCCTGGGCCCCTGACCCTTTTCTCCCCAAGCGTTCCTGGAATCCAAGCCCTCAGCCCCTTCCTCCCTCAGACTCTTGGGTCCAGATCCACAGCCCCCTTCTCCCCCAGAGACGCAGGAGCCCCAGCCCCCAGATCGTCGTCCTCTGGCCCGGCAGGCCTCCTGGGTGCTGGCTTGGTGTTCGGCCCTCTGAGCACACCTGCCCTACCTACCCTCCGGTCAGTCGTCTGCAGACTCCATGCCCGGGGACCGGGGGCTAGCAAACACCCGAGCCTCCCTGGGTACTTGCTTCCTGTCTCCTCCCTTCTTTGGGTCAGTTCTAAGGATGACAGCCACAAGCCCCCAGCGCTGACACCACAGCGGGCCCAGAGCACGTCTTCTGTCTGACACCTCCCAGTCCAGAGATCGGGGTGCCCTCACCATCCCCATTTAGCAGGTGAGGCAGGGGAGGGCGCTGAGCCTCCGAGAGGGGAAGAGCCTCCCAAAGTCAGCCTCCCAGTGGCGGTGGGCGGTGGACTCAGCACCCAGCCTCCCCACCCCTCCAGCCGGGGTCCCCCCCCCCGCCCAGCCCCTCCTCCTGGGCCGTCGTGGCTCTCCGGCCCTACCTGTTTCCTCTCTCTCCTTCTTCCTTTCCACCTTCCCCGGTTCCCAGCCTCCTCGTCCTCCTGCATCAGGCATCCCTCCCTGGCTCTGCCTCCTTCTCTCTCTCCCGTCGCCTCTCTCCTCTCCCGCTCCCGTTTGCCTCCCTCTCCCCCCCCCTTTTTCCTCCTTTTCCTCTACCTCCGGTCTTTCATCCTCCCCTTCTCCCCCCTCCCCCTCTTTGTCTCTCCCCTTCTCTCAGGCCCTGTCTCAGTCTCTGTCTCCCTCTCCTCTCTTTCCCACCCTTCTCCATCCCTTTTTTCGGACGGCTCTCCTCACTTCCTCTCCCCCCCCATCTCTCACCTCCGTCTCGGTCTCTCTTTCCTCCCCTCCCCCCTTCTCCCTTCGGGTCTCCCTCCCTCCTCTCTCTCTCTCTCTCTCTCTCTCTCTCTCTCTCTCTCTTTCTCCTTCCCTCTCTCCCTCCCCCTCGCAGCTCGAGCCAGGTCTGGAGCTGGGGGTGGGGTGGGGGTGGTTTGAGAAGGGGCCCCGGGCTGGGGTAGCGACCTGCGAGGAGGGGCAGAAGAGGCGGGAAAGGGGCGGAGAAGGAAAAGGGGGGGGCGGGGGCCGGAGACGGGTCCACGGTCCCAGCTCTCTCCCCGCTTCCCTCCTTCCCAGCCGCCCAGACCCTCAGGCGGGGGCGAGAGTCAGGCCAAGGTGGGGAGGAAGGGGAAGGGAGGTGGCCGCCCCCGCCCCCCCCGCCCCCCCCACCCCCCTGGCCCCGAGCCCGGGCCCGGGTTCCCAGCATGCCCCGGGGCTGCCTGGGGCCTGAGGAGGGGGGTGAGGGGAGAAGGGAAGCCGAGAATCGCCAAGATTCCCGGGACCTCAGCATCTCCCCCACCCGCCAGCCAGTGTCTCCTTGGGGAAACTGAGGCCGACAGAGGAAGGGGGGGGGATGTCAGGACTTGTTCAAGGTCACTTGGACAAGGCGTGGGTGGAAACGTGAACTCCCCGGGCCCACAGGCCGGCTTTGGGGAAGGGGTGGGCTCTGGACTTCCCCCAGGCCTAGGTCCCCCTCCCCCTCTCTGCGGACCCTGGGGAGCCCCCAAGGGTCAGAGAGCAGACCCAAACAGTCTGGCACCATGGCAACCGGCTGGCCCCGCCCCCTTAACCCCTGGAGGGCTGGACTCCAGCTGGGGCTAAAGGGGAGGTGGGGACTCCTGGGTTCCGGGGAGGAGGGGCCTGGGGGACCCCAGAACTGCAGGCTTCCAAGGGGCAAAGATGCCGGAACTTGGACGCTTGGGTTCCAGAGGAGCAGAGGGTTGGGGGCCGTGCTCCTTGGGAGGAGGGGCTGAGGTTTTAAAGGGGTTAGGGGCTGGAGTGTGGATTCCCTGGTCTGAGAGAACAGACTGGGGGCTCAGACTCCTGGATCCTGGAAAAAAGGGGACTGGGGGCTCGGATTTTGGAATGGATGGGGGCATGGGTGGGGGCCTGGGTGGTGGACTCCCAGGTCTGAGGGAGGAGGGGTCTGGGACCTGGAATCCCGGGTCCCCGAGGGAGCACGGATGCTGGGCCTCTCCTCCTCCAGACATCCCCTGCCCCCGCCGCTGACCCTGGCCTGTCTGGCAGCCCAGACAACCTGCCCCTCCTCCTCGGCCCCCTCCCATTGGCACGGCTCACCCTTGACCCCTCAAAGCCCCGCAGCCCTATCCCTGCCCCTCCCCCGCCCCTCCAGCCAGACGTTAACCCCTCCACTGCCGCAGGCACTCCAAAGCCAGACAGATCTTCCTCCACCTCCCCCGAGGGCTCGAGCATCGCGCCCCTAGTCTCCTCCAGCCCCACGATCCTACCCGCCCCAGCCCCCATCTCGGTCCTCGCTCCTGAATCCAGGAGGTGTCCCCAGCCTTCTCCAGCCTGTGGACCCCGGAATCCAAGTCCCAGCCCCCTCCTTCATGGATTCAGGAGTCGGGGCGCCCAGCCACCTCCCCACCCCCAACTCCTCCTCCAAGAACCCAGAAATCCAGGCCCCTGGGTGTTCCTCCCTCGGGGACCCGGGAGTCCAGGCCCCAGCCCGCCGCCTCCCTTTCCGCAGACTCACGGCTCCCAGGGCTCCCGCGACGCAGGAACGGGGTCTCCTCCGCCGCCCCGGGCCCGCAGGCCGGGCCCCACCGCCGCTGAGCGAGCGCTCTCCATCCTCTCCCCGCCTCCGCCGCCCCGCGGCCGCTCCCCTTCCTCCCGCCGTGCCCGCCATCCCCTTCCCTTCTCCCCGGCTCCCTCTGGCCGGCGACTCCTCCCCGGCTCTGAGGTCCGGGGCTACCCCTCCCCGGACCCCGCCGGCGGCCTGGCCTGTCGGACCAGCCCCCTCCCCAGGGGGCCCCCGCCCCGGCCCCTCCCCACCGCCCTGCCCAGTCCGGCCTGGCTTCCCACCCGCCCTGCCCCGAGCTGGCTCCCGTCCAGGGGAAAAAATTCCATCCAGCCCCGGGGAGGAGGAGCGGGGCGGAGGAGGGAGCGGGAGGGGGAGGCCGGGCCAGGGGAGCCTGACGCAGAGGAGGGAAGGGACAAAAGAGGCCGGGAGGCGGCGGCGGCCCGGCTCCCGCCTCGCCCGCCCTCCTCCCGCGGCCGGTCTCGCTCCTCCCCGGCTTTCCCTAGGTCGCCTCCGCCTCTCCGCCCTGTCCTGTCCCTCGCTGGCCTCCCTCCCTCTTCTCTCCTGCGCCGCCTCCTCCACGCTCCCCGCGTGCTCTCTCTCGCTCCCTCTCTCCCTCCCTCCCTCTCTTCTCTCTCTCTTTCTCCCTCCCTCCCTCCTTCCCTCCTCCTCTCTGCTCCTGTCATTCTTGGTCGCTTTTGCTGCCTCTCTCTGTCTCTTTCCGTCTGTCCTCCCTTCTGTCTCTGCACGTCTGTCCTCCCATTCGCCCTCTCCGTCCTGTTCCTCTGCCTGCGGTGCTTCTGTGTCTCCCATTTATTCTTCCCTTTTCTCTTTCTGTTTCTCTCCCTCCCTGCCTGTCTCTGTGTCTCTGTCCTTCCTGTCTCTGGCTTTCTCCTCCCCTCTCTCCCCCAACCAGTCAGGGTCTGCCCTTCTCTTTCTCCCCCTTCCTGCTCTCCCAGCGCCTCCCCCCCCACCACCACCACACCGGCCTTGGTCTCCCCACCCCCCCCACCCCCACCCACTGGGGACTCAAAGGTGAATCAGACCCGAATCTGCCCTTGCAGATGGAGCTCACAGTCTGATGGAAGACACAGAGCCAGCCGCAGACAGTCCCAATCCCGGGTGATCAAGGGTATGCAGAGGGAGAGGCCAGAGCCTGCGAGATCCCAGGGCGGGGGGCGGGGGGGGGGGGAATCCTGGCGGTCGCAGCCGGCAGAGAGGACCTCCAGGGAAGGCGTGGTTGTGGCATGACCTCCCCTGAAGGCCTTCCAGGCAGAGGGTACAGCTGCAGCGAAGGCCCGGAGGCAGGAAACCAAGAAGGTGCTGGAAGGATAACAAAGCCCCTTAAGTCTGCCTCGAGCCTCCGAGGCCGGGAGCCAAGGAGCGCAGGAGATGAGGCTGGGGCCAGCGGGCGGGGTCAGCTTCTCAGGACCACGCTGGGAACTTAGCCTCCTGAGGGTGACACGGAGCCCTGGAAGGTCGTGATCAAGGAGTGGGGACAGGGTCAAATCTGAAAGTCAGACCCCCGGGGGATGTGTGTGGACTGCAGGGGCAGAGACTGGTGGAGGCTGGGGAGGAGGCTCCCCTCCCTGCAGTTTGGGGGGTTAGGACCTCGGAGAGAGAGGAAGGGGTGAGGCGGGAATGAGGAGCTGGAGATGGCTGGAGACTGCTGGGTGGTGGCGGGGAGGGGACAGGTAGGAAAGCTGCAACTCCCTGAGTCTGGCCCAGGAACGGATGGGGCAGGAGCTGTTTCCAGTGGGGAACCAGGAGGAAGAAGAGGGTAGAGGAGAGAGCTGCTGTGGGCGGCTGAGAACTCAGGGGACATGACGAGCCAGGGACCCTTAGGGCAAACATTCCGGGTGAATGAGCCAGGGACCCTTAGGGCAAACATTCAGGGTGAATGCTGCTGGGCTTTCAACAGTGCGTCTCCCTCCCGCCCTATCCTCTAGCCACCCAGTTCTCTCTGGGGACAGCGTATATTCACTAATTTCTTATGTATCTTTCCGGAGGAATTTTGTACATCTATGCACTTATATACCGGCCTCCTCTTATCTGTCCCCAGATGGGATCGAATTATTCTGTACCTTGCTATTTTTTTTTTAACACGCTACTCAAAGATCCTCCCACACCTAGGGTTATAGAGCCTCCTCATTCATTTTATTTGCTATATAATATTCCATTGTATTCATGTATTTATTCCTAATGTATTAATTGAGAGATTGGGAGGTTTTTTTTTTTATGTCAAGAAACTAATGCTTATGCACATTCAAATTTGCTGATTTTTATTATTTTTATTTATTTATTTTTGAGACAGAGTCTCACTCTGTTGCCCAGGCTGGAGTGCAGTGGTGTAGTCTCGGCTCACTGCGACCGCTGCCTCCCGGGTTCAAGCCATTCTCCCACCTCAGCCTCCCAAGTAGCTGGGACTACAGGCGTGCACCACCAGGCCTGGCTACTTTTTGTATATTTCGTAGAGATGGGGTTTCACTATATTGGCCAGACTGGTCTTAAACTGACCTCAACTGATCCTCCCGCCTTGGCTGAGCCACCATGCCTGGTACAAATTTGCTGAATTTTAAAGTGATTTTGTCCATTGCTTTTAAGTCTCTAAACCCAGATATTAGATAAATGCTTACTTCTAGATCCTTTAAAATTGGTTGATAATTACTAACAATTGGATCATAGTAATGACAACAGAGACCCTTTATTTTATTTATTTATTTATTTTATTTTGAGATGGAGTCTTGCTGGAGTGCAGTGGTGAGATCTGGGCTCCCTGCAACTTCTGCCTCCTGGGTTCAAGCAGTTCTTCTGCCTCAGCCTCCTGAGTAGCTGGGACTACAGGCTTGTGCCACCATGCCCGGCTATTTTTGGTATTTTTAGTAGCAGTGGAGTTTCATCATGTTGGCCAGGATGGCCTCGATCTCTTGACCTCGTGATCCGCCCACCTCGGTCTTCCAAAGTGCTGGGATTAGAGGTGTGAGCCACTGTGCCTGGCCCAGATACCCTTTATTGAATGACTACTTGGAGCCAGTTCCTGGACTGAGTATTTGTTATACATTATATGACTGATTACACAGGAACCTTATTATTAGAAACGATTATTATCCCAGTTGTAAGGATGGAATACTGAATAGGATGTGGTTCTGAATAGGGAGTTGCCCAAGCGCACAGAGTATGTGATAGAGCCAGAGATTGAAACCCAGACCCCTCTGGCTCCTTCTTTGGGGTAGGCTGGCTCTGGGAAAATATGCTATTTCTTTTGTGTGTGTGTGTGAAATGAAGTCTTGCTCTTGTTCCCCAGGCTGGAGTCCTGGAGTCCTGGCACAATCTCGGCTCACTGCACCCTCCACCTCCTGGGTTCAAGTAATTCTCCTGCCTCAGCCTCCTGAGTAGCTGGGATTTCAGGTGCCCTTCACCACTCCCTGTTAATTTTTGTATTTTTAGTAGAGATGGGGTTTCATCACGTTGGCCAGGCTGGTCTCAAACTCTTGAGCGCAGGTGATCCACCTGCCTCAGCCTCCCAAAGTGCTGGGATGACAGGCGTGAGCCATGGCACCGGCTGAAAATATGCTTTTTCTAAGGATTGACACTCGGTACATTTAAACTTGTCATGCATACAGATTCATGTACGACTAAGAAGAAACCTTTGTCAGACCCCTCACTTTCACTTGGGATCTGGAGTTACTATCACTCTGAGTTCACCTCGGATGCCCTGTAGGCAGATTAGGACAGTAACTGCATCATAGTCCTTGTCGTGGGCCTGATCCTGTTGTGTGTGATTTTCTGTGTCTGGGTCCGTCTTTGGGAATTTACTGAGGGCATGCTCTGGGTCTGAGTCATCTCTGTGTCCTCAATATCACTCCACCCAGGCATGGCTCAGAGCAAACGTTTGCTCACTGAATGAATGAAGGGATGAGTGAATAATAAATGGCTTCTGGATTAGGCTGGGACTTGCTTAAGCCCCCAGGAAGAGCGACCATAATTCCCATTACCTCCTGAAACATAAGGTCTCTTTTCTGTTTTTGTCAGTTAGCAAGTCACAGAGACCACTGATTCCTTCATTCTCTGAAATGCAGGGCTTTAAATCTCTCAGCACATAAGACTCAGCTATTGCAATTTCCACAAATATCCAGGACTCAGGATCCATCATTCCCTTCACTCCCTGAGACAGGGGCCACCATTCCCATCAGACATTGGCACACAAGTATAGGTTGAGCATCCCTAATCCAAAAATCTCAAATCTGAAATGCCAGTCTGAATCTCCGAAATCAAAAACTTTTTGACCACCAACATGATACCAGAAGTGAAAAATTTCAATCCATCACTTGATCTCATGTGGTGGATTGCAGTCAAAACTTTGTTTCATGGGGCTGGGGACAGTGGCTCATACCTGTAATCCAGCCCTTTGGGAGGCTGAGGCAGGAGGATCACTTGAGCCCAGGAGGTCAAGGCTGCGGTGAGCTGGGACGGTGCCACTGCACTCCAGCCTGGGTGATAGAGTGAGATCCTGTCTTCAAACAAACAAACAAGCAAAAAATTTTGTTTCATGCACAAAAATACTATATAAAATTGTCTTCAGGCTATGTATAGAAGGCATATATAAATGAGGTGAAAATGATGAATTTTGTATTTGGACTTGAGTCTCATCCCCCAAGTACATGATTTTATATATATGAAAATATTACAAAATACAAAAAAGAAATCAAACCTGAAACTCTGTCTCAAGTATTTTGGATAAGGATGCTCAACCTGTACCATCATCCTTGCCAGTCTGTGCTACCCGATATTGTAATTCTCATACTTCTTAGACACAGGGGCCACCATTCTCATCAACTGCTGAAACTCAAGTGGCACCGTTACTACCTCTTGGACCAGCATTCCAAAGGAAAATAGAAACTTCCTGCCCTTCACAAGGTCATCCCAAGTTCCTGAAACAGGAACTGCTAGACAGGGAGACCCCTTTACCTACCTTGAACTAGGTCTGAGTCAAGGATTCACACGTTGATACTATGGAACAGGCGGCACCCGGTCATGAGGAACATCAGCGTAGCAGAGAATCCTT